TCCCGTCGGCCCGTCCCCTTGCCCGGCAGATGAGCAAGGCTGTGAGGGACCCAGTGTGCTCCGGGTCCAGTGACCAGCAGTCCCTCCCCACGACAGCAGCATGGGTCTGGGCCTGCTCCCTTCAGGCTACTCCAGGCCCCTGCCCCTTCCCTTGAACAGGGACTTCCTCCCTGGGTGTTCAAAGCCATCTCGTGGTCCACCCCTCCTCTGTACAGATTCTGCATGCAAAGACCCTGAGTCTCTTTCCCAGAAACCTCCGTGGATTTAACTAGGCGTATTCAGGCATAGAGGGCTGCCCAGCTGGCTCCTTTCTCTCCAGCCTGGAGGGGAGCCCTGGCAGGAGGTAAATATGATCGGGTGGTCCCCTCATCTCTACTCCCAGCTCCACACATGCCTGCTCTGTAGGAGCCAGAGAAGAGACGAGTGCCAGGAGCTCCTCACTCATCCAGAGCCCTCAGTTTACAAATGAGGAAACTAGAGTCCAGAGGTAGAGGGACACTGGCCTACAGGATCACTCAGTGAGTCAGTCAGCGTTCTACACCAGGAGCAGGCCGATCTGGGGATGGGCCAAGAGAGCGAGGCCCCAGCACCCCTGGAGGCTGACACTGGCCAGTCTGCGGATGATGGAAGGTGGCGCTGCTCTCGGGGCATGGGCAGTGGCGGCCCAGGGTCCAGCGGGTAGGGAGAGCGGAGCAACGTTGGCACCCTGGAGCAGAGCCTGCTCCTGGGCAAGAGGCAGGCCCTGAATGAACCCAGGCTTCCCGACTGCCTACCACAACATGCAGAGGGACATGTCTGGCAGCTTTTGAGCTCTCTGGGAAGAAAGGGGAGGCGCAGCATTAGAGGCATGAAAGAGAAGGGGAGGGAGGTTACTGGAGGAGCAGAGCGGGCTCAGCCACAGCCCAGGATCCTTTGCTTCTGGCCCCCTTGGGCACTTGGAGATGAAGCTGGACCCCAAGGGGCACCCATCCCATTAGTGCCTGACTGAGGAGGCCTTTGCAAATGACTGCCAGGTCTGGGCCAGCCTGAAAGGAGGCTACTTTCAGCTCTGGGGGGAGCTTTCCTTCCCTTAGGAGGGCCTGGCCTGTATCTGGAAGCCTTCTGGATCAGAAAACCCAAATCCCCAAGAGCCGTAGGGCTCAGAATGAGTTTGCTCCGAATTCCCAGGGGGAAGATGAGTGTTTAGGTGGTGGTTCTTTTTTGGGAAGGGGGGTGTGTGTGTTACTCATGTCTCCATGTGTGCGTGCACATGGCTTAGTACCATCAACTTTCTATATTTGTGTCTTCCTATGGGAGATGAGTTTGTGGACTTTCCGGGATACATATTTGACTCTGTGTGTGTGTGTGTGTGTGTGTGTGTGTTGGTGTGTGTGTGTGTGTGTGTGTTGGTGTGGCAACATCAATTATTTTCCCAGGCAAATAGCAAAGTCACTGCAATGTCTCTGCCCTCCCCTTCACACCAGCCTGTGGCTCTCTCACTGTCCCCATCTGAGCGTTTCTATTTGCTCTGGAGCCAACAGTCAGTCAGAATTGCCACGTCTAATGGATTTCCTGCCCCAGGTTGGAAGGCACAGACACCCCTCCCATCACTTAGAAGTGGGGCCTCAGGGGCTGGGAGGGTCACCTCCTTAGTACATCTCCCACTCCCCTCGCTGCCTGGCTGGTCTCCAGAAGTCATTTCCAGGCTGTCTTTCTCCCCTGCAAACCCCACATCCCCGGGAGCGGGGCTGCAGTTCCAGCCAATTTTGATTTTAAGCCGTGTTTGGAAGCACCAAACCAGTCACCCAAGGAGAAAGAACAAAGTGACAGGTGATGTGGCAGCCTCGCTGAGGCTCACCGGGCCGGCGGGAGCCGGAGCTGTTATTTCCAGACTCTAGAAAATAGAGCAGAAAGAGCTTGCCTACAGCTGCTGGCCTGGCTCCACATTGGGGGGGGGGTGAGGATGCTTCTCCCCGCCACCCCCCTCAGCCAGCACGCCCTGCCCTCCTTGCCGTGCTCCTCCGAGGAGCATCCAGCATCCCCTCCAAAACTCCCGCCAGCTGCCGTCCCAGTAACTCAATCATGCATCGATCTGAAGGAGGGAGGGCTGTGGGCTGATTTATGGGATGGAAGCCTCAGCTTCCACCCCCCCCATCTCCATAGAGGCAGATGCACCTCCTCTCCCTCCCCCAGACATGCATACACACGCTGAGCTCCATCCCAGGTCACCACGTTTCACCTCTGTGGAAGCGAGCAGGACCGGCCTGCCTGTCTTCTGCCTCAGCATGACTTACTAACCATACGGGGAGGCTGCTGCGGGCAGCCTTGTTGGTACCAGGTGCCCAGCATCTGGGCTCATGCCAAGAGATGAGCTCTGGCTCTCTTGAACGACCCCACTCCCCAAAAAAGCCCCCTCCCCAGCTTTGGAGCCATCTGCAGGGCTCAATGGGTGTCATAGCCTCCCACCTCTTCAGGATTCCTGCTGGGCAACTTTCCCCGTAACCACAGCTGGGGAGGACGTTATGCCTGGTCATTCATCCCACAAATCTCCCAGCTACATTCTCCTGAGCATCCCCGTCCCTGCCTCAGGACCCATGTGGGGAGCTAGAGGTGCTTGTCCCAGAATCCTCTTTTCCTGGCTTCTGAATCCCCTGCCTCAGTAGGATGGCCCTGCCCTCTTCTGAGAAGACCAAGATTCATTTTTCTGCCTTTGATGCTTCCTAGCTTCGTGACCCTGGTCAGGTCACCAGTCTGACCCTGTTTTGTCCTCTGTCTGGGGATAATACCTACTCTCCAAGGTCATTGTGAGGCTTAGATGAAACAGATGGGCATAAAAGACTGTCTAAATAAGTGTTAGCCTTCCCCCAGCCATTCCAGAGTCCTTCCCCTCCGGCTCCGGGGGGGTCAGGGATTGGCTCACTTCTGGCTTTATATCCCCAATGCCTGGCATACAGTAGGAGCTCAATAAAGGC